TCAAATGACATTTTCCGGTGAAACTCTTATTTTGGACATAATTCTGAAGTACAGTGAATATCCACAGCGGTGCGTTGACTGACCGCCACACATACACCTCAAAACAATAGATTAATCCGCGCTGAGGAGCCGGGCCGATGCACAACCCACAAGAAAACGGCCATCTCTTGGTTGGTTTAAATATAAGGCTCAGAGATTCTTTATCCCTGAAAGTCCAGTCTGATGTTGAAACTTTGGTTTAACAATGATTCCTCAGATGGTTACCTTTTTAAATTATCCATTGTGTCAGTGATGTTGCTCATTGGTTTACACTGATTATTTATGTACTTGCTCAATAATCAATTCTTCTCTATTAGGGTTATGACCGTAAAAAAATAAAAAATAAATAAATAAAAAACTTTTTGTTAATTGAGATATAACTGCAATAAAATACAATTATTAGATGAGAAACTTTGCTTTGCAAAAAACTGAAATATGCTTAAACACTAAAGTCACTCAAAATTACAATTGGAAATGGAAATAAACAAAAAACTGAAATGAAAATATTAAATCTAAATAGTAAATCTAAATGCACACAGCAATTATTAATAACAATTAAACTAAAATTAAAATGAAAATGTAAAAAATAAAAAGCTAATTCAAAATATTTATAAAAAAAATTCTAATAATATATAATACTACTAAAATAACACTGTTCAGTATAGCATCTTCTGTACTGCAGCTTTAAATCAGTTTATCAACAATTTTACATCTATCAGATTTGAATATTACTTCAGTAGTGAGTCTGAATTAAACAACTCTTTCCAAAGACAGTTTTAGGAAATCTACATCCAAGTTCATCCTTAAATGGCATGCTACATTCATACCAAACAGGACGTAGTTCTGTGGAAACGTTTCTAGCTAATGTTAGAGAAGTGTGTTCAGATCATGGCTAATGTTTTGTGTCACTTTCACCTACGACCCTCAATAGCATGTGCACTGACCTCATGGCTGAACTACTTTCACTGATGAGGGCACTAGACTAATGTGGCTTTGTAAACAGAACATCCATTCACGCCGGAGTCCTTGGATCTGTTTGGACAGTGTTTTTAGTTCGACCTTTAAAGAGGAACACCCATTCCGTCTTAAAACAGCCCAGTCTCTATGCGCTTTGATGTCCCGTACTGTATCTTAAGGCTGTGACACACCCTGCCGAAGGTCGCCTAAAGTTGGGTCGGCATTGAGCATCTGTCGGCCTAGTTTTTACAGTGTGTTTTGCACCAATGGCACAAGTCAGACCCTGTCAGTGGCTTTTTGGCCGATTGAGCATGTTGAATCGGCAGTGGAGGCCGTCAGTGAGAGAGATCGCGCTGATTGGCTGTTCAGCTTAGCAAACCAGTGCACAAAAAAAATGGAAGTGACAAAATCAAACAAGTCGAGTCAAGACGGCACAAAAGAAGGCTCTTCTCATTTTTCATATCGACAGTCCTAGTTCTGGTTTCTCTTTTTGAATGACAAATACAGACTACTGCCACCTGCTGGTATGGAGAGTTGTTTCGTCTCATGCAGGCACAGAACATACGTACTAATTGGCCATTGGCTGAGTCTTTGCACTGTTTTCAAGCACAATTTTTTGACCCTGACGCAAGCGACGTGAGTGAACACCACAGTTAGCTTTCGTCGCTGCCTGTTCTTTGATGAGGTTTGGTGTGTCTGGGCCTTTAATATGAATCATATGAAGTGTTCCTCCATCAGTAAAACAAACAGTATCGAGATACTTAAGAACACATATAACAAATAGCGCTGGATGAAGTAGATTCAACTCTAAACACAGTAAAACACGTTGTAAATGGAAACCTTTTATGTTCTCTAGAGCGCAAACACAAATATGCACTGGGTAGTTTGCCAAGATCTGTTTCGCCAATGTTAGTAGTACAACTTCATCTTTAGCACCTCCGTAAAACCAGACCTGAAGGGAATTATTATATTTGCGGGTCCTTGGCATCAAACAGTTTAAAAAAACACTGATCTGTGGACAGCGCGTTCTGTCTCTCTCACACACAAGACATTTACACGCAAGCGACTAAAATTAAAAACACGCTTTTTCTCTTCCTCTCCATCGCTTTAATAACTGCATAGCAACGCCTACAAATAACTGAAACAAAATGCTACTTATTGAGAGGCTAACTTTGAGAAAATTAAGCTGTGTCATGAATAGGTGGTCAATCGCACAGCCAGTAGGCTATTTTAAGTTTCATTTTTTAAAATCATGAATCTCCACTTCATCAGCATTGTTTTGTTCTCTGTTGTTGTTTAACAGCTGTGAGCATGCTGATGGATGTATTTTTTATCATTTTGTTGATTTTTTGCTGTTTTCATGTTGTTTTTAAAAGGTTTAAAACGCGTGACACCTTCATTCTGCCCGGTGTTGCTGTCACTGATCGTTTGGTCCTCAAGTCTTAAACACATGTGTTTTAGTTACATACTCAAGATATTGAATTGAATTTAACTTTTAAGCGCTGTTTTTGACCAAAAAAAAAAAAAAGACCCTCAGATGAAATCCTGCAGACGCCTCTGGTGATATCAACTTCAAATTTGGAACATAAATTAGTTAGACCTATGGCTTTGATTTGATAATTTTAGATTCCAAAATATTTTTCTAAGATATTTATTTTACATATTTACATATTTTTTTAGTACAGTACATTTTCTTCTAAGTAAACAAACTCCTATTTTATTTTTTTTACTTTGTTTTTTTATGTTTTCACTTCAGCAATAATCTGCTGATTGTCTTCTTTAAAAAGAGATCAACCTTGGGTCTGTATTCCAAAGTGTTCGTGAATTACAAGCATTTAAGTGCATTTTCACATCTTTTCAAGTCAAAAAATATGATTTAGTATCACTGAATCAACCTAAATACATTATTTTATACCAACAAAACTGGTGGGGGTTGAATCAGGTAAAAATGGCTCTTTAAGGCTCTTTAAGGTTAAAGTTTTTCAGAGAGTCTTCAGAAGACTTTAAATATAAGTCACGAGTCATATGGATATCTTTTATGGTACTTATACATTAGCTGAAGAGAATAAAAGCATTCATAGCACTGTTTAGTGGTACAGTTGTGGCGTTATAAAATGGAAATGAGGTGAGGCTGTATGTTTTTAAAGGTGGTTTTTGTATGCCGCGCTGGCTAACAAGTGAAATCCCGTGTGGCGCCAGAGGATGACATCATCAACACGTTGAGTTCAGCAAAGGTGGATTTGCATTATTCTCCAACAGTCAGACGTGGCGTGAGCTGTTCTGTGCCCTGTCACGTCCAAACCCGGCATTACCAAATAAACAGCCTTGATCACACGTATAGCACATTCAGCGGTGCCTGAAAAGTCCGCGCTGTCACCACAGAAATGAAAAAGAGCTAAAAACACAGCTTTTTGGATGTTAATGGGCGGGTGGAATGAACGTTTTGTGTTTAGTCGAGCTTAAGTGTGGATCTGAGAAACAGATGGTTGGGTTTATGATTAGGTTTAGATGTCTTAATTAGGTATGATTTCATTTATAGGAAGAACTGGGTTGAGTTTAACTTTGGCAAAAGACTCTGAATCAAGCTTCTAATCAAGCAGGTAAACCAAACAAACAATCTTGAGATTAACCCTTTGAACCAGCAGAGAGGCTGTCAGCGCTGGGTTTTAACCCCGTTGAGCAGAGGTGAGCTGGGGGAAGGACAGAGGAAGACACAACTGCAAAAGAAATCTGTTTTCCTGCTAGATTTATAGCTTGGTCGATCAACACATATAATCCAATGATGTCTTTTAAGCTACACAACAATTTACTTTGCTTACCAAACTGAAGTTCTGGTTTTGGCATGTATTGTTATTTACTAATGTGTTGGGCGATATATTAAATAAGCATGATATATCACAATGAAGTTGCCTGTGATATAAAAACTAAGCAACTCAGTCATGTTGATGTTTTCATTTGCAAATATGAGTGTTAATACAGAGGTGTTATAGTAGCATCTCTGAGACATCAGTAGTAAAAGTGCTTTGAAAAATGTAAAGTAAAATCTCTGTGATTTTTTTCATATATTAAAAAGCTGTAGTAAATCTATTAAAATCTATATTGTGGCATTTATCCAAGTATACCAGATTATCCCAAAAAAAAAAGGGGCGGGGACTCGATTGTATCCATCAGTTGTTGCCTGGATGAATCAGACATTTTAAGTAGCACAACATCGGACGTTAGACACCGGACAAAGGAACCAAGGAACAGAACATTCTTTAAATACATAACTAAACTAAAAGATATTTTTGTAAAAATCCTGCTCTATACACTGATCTCCAGTTGTAGGTTGAATTATTAGAGTTTTTGGCTTCTGGTTAAGACCAGGTAGACAAAGATACCGTACAACACTGATGTTTCTCAGCATGCGTCTCTTTAAAAAAAGAAGAGCAAATAATACTAGTGCGGTTGAAAAAACTGAAAGTCAGATTTACAGGCAGCAGAGATCAAGGGTCACAATGCTGGATGCATACAAAGAGTGTTTCTTTCTTTCAGGCGCATCACTCACTCTCACCATGTCTACTGCATTCCAGCACACACGTACAGTGTTTTTACTCCACTGGGCATGTGTTGGCCTTGTTGAACTATGTGTGTATGTATGTGTGGGGTAGGGGTTAGAAAACAAGTCCGTATGTGTGTGTGTGTGTGTGTGGTAGTCTGTTGTTATGGCAGCACACTGGAATGTTGAGCTCTCTACTATAGAGGCTCTTTAATGATCATGCTCTCTGTCACCATGTTCACGCTGAGATGTTCAAAAAGAGAAAGACGGAGACAGAGAAACATGCCAAATGCAATTTTTTTTTTCTTGAATTCACTGTCTGTTTTCATGCCACGAAATAAGCATCTAAAGTACCGTTTAATACTGAGTTTTCCCTGAGTTTTAGCCAGCCTCTGGGGATAGATAAGTTCAGGATAAATGATGAAAGGTCAGCATACAGTGTACGTTTGGATGAGGAAGTACTGACCTGTGTGGCTGCGGATGTGCACTCTCAGTGTGCCGTTACTGGCAAACTTCTGGCCACAGTACGGACAGATCTTCTCCTTCTCTCCTGTATGGGTCTAAGAGAGAGAACGCAGTACAACAGAGTGTTAACATTTGAGAACGATCCTCTAACTTGTCTATGATTCATCTTTGATGAGAAATCAGCATCTGGGCTGCTCACAGTGGTAGTTTTATTTGTCATCTCAAATAAACTGCCAGTGAGAATACCCTAGATGTCATTACTCTTGCTGCTTTCTGTTATATACAGTAAAAGCTGTGCAAACTAAAGTGATCTGAAGTTCATTGCATCAGTTCAGTTCCCTTTCAGTCAGTCACCACGAGTCACGTCGTGACCGACGAATTGGGATCTCGCTTCGAGAGACCAATCTACTTCGAGTGTAAACCAAAACGAGCCAATGGACATTGGCATGCGACTTTTTATGCACAGCGTGAGCATAAAAAGGTAGCAGGTGCAACGCATACCAGCTTTTTGCTTCGGAGTCGAGCGATAACATTGTTCTGCTCCTGCCATATCTTCGTTTGTGACGACGTGTTCAACGCGCTCTAGGGAGCTTTTTGTGTTGGCGGATGGCGCTTCAGTGGTGGTCGTTCCTGTGTCGAGTGGGTTGCGCCCTTCAGGCTGCACTACCCCCTGTCGTGCTGCAAGTGGCCATTTTCCCTGTGCGTTCCCTGAAAGAGCCTATTTCTCTAAAAGAGCTTACACGGGTGCGTCTTTGTAAAGACGACGGATCGTCTTTTTAAAGATGCTATTTCACCCGTGCGTTTCTGGATGCGGTCGTTATCTGGCGCCGGATGATGGTCATGATCGCTGCCTCACGTTATAATAATAACAAAATTATAATAATAAAAATTATAATATACGAAGGCAATAAACACGCTGAGGTGGCGTTCGTGGATAAGTCATGTTCTCATTGCGGGAAGATGACCATCTCGGAGCTGTGGGCCAGTCTCAGTTTCCTCCAGGGAGGCGGAGCTCCGTTGCCTTTGCCGCGATCTAGTGTTGGTTCTCAGCACCCCGTCAGTCACGCCGCTGGGGCTGCTTCATATGAGACCGCTTCAGCACTGGCTTCATGGCCGAGTCCCGAGGTGGGCGTGGCAGCGTGGCACTCACCGGGTCCAAGTTACACCGGCCTGTCACCAAACCTTCACCCCGTGGACAGACCATGCGTTTCTCCGGGCAGGAGTGCCCCTAGAAAAGGTCTCCAGGCATGCTCTTGTTTACACGGCGCTCCCGTCGCATGTTGCAACTCGCCCGCCACCTCCTCCATTGGAGTCAGAAGGTTCTGAGGTCACTTCATGCCATTCACATTCCGGGTCTGCTCAACCGTACGGCAGATGAGCTGTCACGAGCTACGCTCCCAGGAGAATGGTGACTCCATCCCCAGACGGGCCAGCTGATTCGGAGACGTTTCGGAGCCACTTAGGTAGACCCGAGTGCCTCTCCAGAAACCTCTCACTGCCAGTTGTTCTACTCCTTGACAAAGGGAACACTCGGCACGGACGCACTGGCACACAGCTGGCCGCGGGGCCTGCGCAAGTATGCATTTCCCCCAGTGAGCCTTCTCGCACAGACGCTGTGCAAGGTCAGGAGGACGAGGAGCAGGACCTGCTTGTGGCGCCGTATTGGCCTACTCGGACCTGGTTCCCCGAACTAATGCTCCTCGTGACAGCCCCTCCCTGGCAGTTTCCTCTGAGGAAGGATCTACTGACTCAGAGATGGGGCACCCTGTGGCACCCGCATCCAGACCTCTGGAAACTTCATGTCTGGTCCCTGGACAGGACGCGGAGGTTCTAGGTGACCTACCCCAGCAGGTAGTTGACACTATCGCTTCGGCGAGAGCACTGTCTACGAGACACCAATAACGGGCCTTGAAGTGGAACCTGTTCGTCGAGTGGTGTTCTTCTAGCCGAGAAGACCCCTAGAGATGCCCGATCAGGGTCGTGATTCCGTTTTGCAGCAAGGGTTGGCGCGAAGGCTGTCTCCCTCCACCCTTAAAGTCTATGTCACTGCCATTGCTGCTAACCATGACCCTGTGGAAGGGAAGTCGGTAGGGAGGCATGACCTGGTCATCAGGTTCCTTAGGGGGGCGAGAATGTTAAATCCTCCCCGGCCCCCCTCTATACCCTCTTGGGACCTGTCTCTAGTGCTCAAAGCACTACAGCAGGGCCCTTTTGAGCCTTTGCACTCAGTTGAGCTAAAGTTTCTGTCAATGAAAACTCTGCTCCTGCATGCACTGGCCTCCATCAAGAGGGTAGGGGACCTGCACGCATT